GGGAGGTGTGACTATACCTGGGGAAACTGGCTCTCCAGACTGGTTTTCCCTTGGCCCAGGTGCCTGGGAGGCTGCTGAGATCTCTGGGTGGCGGGGAGCTACGCCGCGTATGCCCAAACCTTGGTGGGGAAGGACTTAACCTTCACCAGGGTGAGGAGTTGACACTGCTGTGTGTCCGTCCCCCCCTCTCAGGCCATCTCTGCCTTCGTCTCGCTCATCATCACGGGTCGTTTCCTGGTGGCGGCGATGCTGCTGCTGCTGGTGGAGGTGAGCAACATCTTCCTCACCATCCGCATGCTGCTGAAGATGAGCAACGTGCCTTCCCCGGTGCTCTACGAGGCCAACAAGTATGTCAACCTGGTGATGTACTTCGCCTTCCGCCTGGCGCCCCAGGCTTACCTCACCTGGTACTTCCTCCGCTACGTGGAGGTGCAGGGCCAGGGTGCCTTCCTCACCGCCAACCTCCTGATGCTCGACGCCATGATCCTCATGTACTTCTCCCGCCTCCTCCGCTCCGATTTCTTCCCCTCCTTGCGCAAGGGCTCTGTGGGGAGAGACGTGGATGGTGAGAAGTTTCTGATAGACTGAGACTTGCGTGCCGAGGAAGACCCGGGCTGTGGTTCCTGGAGGTCTTGGGCTCTCCAAACCTGCTCTGATGTGCCTTAGGGCTCGCTCCCTGGCCCCGGGGCCTGCCTTCACCCGCTCTGCTGCCTAAAAGTGCTTCCCTGCTGGACCAGCCTGACAGCCTCGCCGAGCTGCGGGGACACCGCTGAAGCCAGGGGCATGGTCGATGGAGAAGCAGCCCAAGCCGGCTTCCGCGCAGGCAGCTGGAGGGTCAGGGGTGGCTGCGTTTTGCAGCTGATGGCCTGAGAGGGTTGCAAGGGAAGGGACGTGTCCCTCCCGTGGTGATGTTCGGTGTTATGTGCATTAAAATCGGTCTGTTTACTGCTGCCGCAGCACGCCTCGGATGGCTTTTCTGTGGGGCAGAGCCGGGTCGGGGGGAGGATGGGGGAGGGGGACAGGGGCATGGGAAAGGATGTGCCCCCATTCTCAGTGGAGGGCTGGTGGTGCTCGGGGAGGGAGAGGGCACATTTCTGCCGCTCGCTTTGTTCTAGGGACTCTCCAGGGATGCACTCAAGCCTGTTGGGTCCTACCAGCCCAGCTGCACCGTGCTGAGCCTTGAATAGCAAGACCTATCCCTCCCACGGAAGGGGCCCTCCGCTCCTCCTCACTCATCTGCTCTTCCAGAGACCCAGGGCTGTGCAGGGAGCAGGGGAAGGGAGCCAAGAGAGGTACCAAGCCTTACTGCAGTCCCTGACCTGCCTGTCTCCGGCCTGGCGGCGAGGAGCCTGGCTGGGCTGCATGACTCACCCGGCAGCCACGTGAAGTGGAGCTGGCATGGGAAAGCCGTGTGAGGCCATGGGCTCTTCCTGGAAGACTGCTGCATGCTCGCATCCCCCTGGTGCGATCTTCACTGGCACAGCACAGCGCAGCTTCGGCTCCCTGCGAGCGTGCTGAGCCCTCTCCTGCAGCGGCAGGACCAAGCTGCCTCCAGCAGTCCCCCCTCCAGAGTGGTGGGAGGAGAGAGGGGGGCTCAGCTCCCTGGGGGAGCAGGGCCAGGACCGGCTGGGCCGGTTCTGTAGAGCACCAGAGCATTGGGAAGGCAAATCCTGCCTACGTGACAGCTCTGGGATCCTATCAGGCTGGCAGAAAGCAGTGGGACTTAGAGGGACTCCTGCCCAGCCCCTGCTCTGGGGCAGGATCCATCCTACCAACCCCACCGCCAGCCCAGCTCAGGCAGAGACAGGCGCTGTGGTTGAAATAAGCTGGTGATTATGTGGAAGCGGTGGGGGAATCGCCCTCTCTCCCTCCAGAGAGCCGGGAAACACCCCACAGGGCCATGATCCTGCCGGGGCTCCCCAGCTGACACCAACGCCGCGGTGGGCGCAGGGGGTGCGTGCCGGGAACAGCCTGGCAGCCAGAGCGGAGATGTGATACTCAGGACGCTGCGTGGGCAGGGATCTACGCCAGCTTCAAACCCGCTGCCTCACCCCCTCCTCGCTCAAAGCAGAGCTCAGCCCCGGCAGGGCACAGCCGGACCCTCAGCAGCACATCTCGATGCCTACACATCTTCCCAGCTGCAGCTTAAACCCCATGGCCTCTGTGCACCGGCTCCATCTGCAAATGCCCCACACCATCAGCCCTAATTTTGGTTTCCCCTTACCCCAATCGCTCCACCTTTCCCCTTGTCTCTCCCACATGGCTCTGCCCCAGCAGGTCACAGGCTCAGGGGGGTCAGCCCACGCTCCCACCGCCCTTCCAGCAGCATGGAAGAGTCAGGCATGACAAAGCTTCCCAAAGCAGGGAGAGCCCAACTCCCTCTCCCCTCCTGGCTTCCAGCCGGAGCATCTCCCAGCAGCGCAGCGCTGGCCGGGCTGGGGCAGCTGTGGGTCGGGCCGGCTGCCAGCCCGGAGCAAGAGGCAAGCGTGGGGAAGCGAAGTGCCAGACGGCAGCAGCCGCCGAGCTAAGCTGAGGTAGGGTCAGGGCAAGACTGCAAGTCATGCTGATGTGAAATCCCTCCCCAGCCTCCACGCTGCGGCACGTACCTGCACAGAGCCCCGGCTGCTGCCGCTGCTCATCCCCTTCCCAGGCTGCACCCACGCCAAGGGCAGAAGGTTGGGTTGGTGCCCTCAAGCCCACAGACCAGCAGGACATCAAACCCAACCCCAGGAAGGAGCGGGGCTGTCCCAGTTCCTCGCATCACTGTACTCCCAGCAGCGGGGCTGTCACAGGCAGCGTTATCTGGCCCCGCACAGCTTGCCAACAGCCCTCGGCTCTCCGAGTTTCAAGCCGCTCAACCGGGCTTGGACAAGGTGTGGGGGGGTGAGACCCTAAACTGGCCTGTGCCCAGGGTGCCAGCAGAGCTCTGCACCACAACCCCTGATCAGGAGGCACCAGCACCCATGAAAACAGCAGTTTCTCCAGGCAGTTTTCACCCCTTACAGCAGGGAAGGAGCATCTCCTGCCTCCCCTCCCAGCTGAGCATCCCGTGGGGCCCAGGGAGAAGTGGAGGTGCATCCAGGCAGCCCCCAATTCCAACGCCAGTCTCAGAAGCCGGCTGACAGCAGCTAAGCTCTGCCTACGTGAAGGCGAGCACAGACTTTGTGATACTCACAAGCCTCCCTCCTCCGACAGGACGAGGCTGCGATGGCAGCCAGTCTCTCCCACACCACCACCACCGCCCCTGGTCCTCCCATGCCTACAGCCGCTCCACAAGCTGCCCAGTGCTTTCACACCACCATCCCATCACCATCTTTACCCCATTGCCCCCATGAGCTTTACACCACTGTCCTTCACCAACCACCACCCCAAGACCCCGATACCCTCTGCAAGAGGCTCAAAGGAACTCGCTGTCCCACTGCCCAAGAGCTCAATTACCCCGAACAATATTTGGTCACCGCTTTCACCATCTCAGTCAAGTGTAACTTCATACTTAAGATCAAGTACCCCTAAAGGCTTATCTAAACTTCACCTCCATTCCCCGCTCCACACACTTGTGACTCTCCAAGCACTCCGAAAAGCCAGGTTTATCTACAAATTTGAGGAAGCAAAACCACTGCTGAGGCAGCAACAGCAGCCAGTTTGGAAACAGCCCTAATGAGGGCCGTGGACCCCTGTGACGTTACAGGCAACATAACAGGAACAGCGTCAGGGAAACCAGGCTGCAAATCACATGCTGCAGCACGGGGAGTAGGGATCGTGTCAGAAAAAAAACACACAAAGCCCCTGCGATGGCGTTAGCTTGAGGCCGTCCTCACGTGAAGCTTGCAGCATCAGCAAATGGCTGATACGCTCGCAAAATGGTGCGACACTCCGCTCGTGCCAGATCTCAACCATAAACAGGTTTTTGTTGTAGTTTCTACCTACCTCCTGGGCACTCATCAGCCTGTGGTACACCCCAGAAGGAAGCTATGTAGGACACCGAGAACACTGATCACAAACACATGCTAATTACACAGGGCAACAAAATGCAGGAGGATACCAGAGGTCTCGGGTAAACAGAGATATTTGAGATTTAGGGCAGTGTCAACTCATGTTTAATGACAGCCAAGACAACAGGTCAGTGATCCAGGAGACCCCAGGGGTGGGACTCTCATGGAACAGTCAGATCTGCCCACCCAGTACCAGGCTACAGTGGAAGGGAGGGAGCGATGGAGGGACCCCTTTACTGAAATGAAGCCCCAGAAGTTTCCTGAGCGCTCTCTTTCACACGGACTGTGCTGTCACAAAACACAAGAGCCCCTCAGTGGTGTCACAGCGTTTATTATCCTGTCTGTACAGTCCTTGGTAGATGCAGTTTAAATGATTCCAATCTGGAAAGAAGCAAAACATGTTAAAACAGATGTTATGGTGGCACAGCCTCCACCACAGACATCACTGCTCAGGCTGCATCTCCCCAGGATTCCTGTGCTCTGAGGACAGGCTTCGTTCTCCCAGACCTGCCCAAGTACCTTTCACAACTGCTTTAAACATTTACTCCACAGTGATCCCTGTGCTAATCCACAGCCAAATTCCCCTGCTCCGATACATACCACTGCCTCCTGTTCACCTCAACCACATCGAGGACTAAACTGCCCACTGCTTCCAGCCACCCACCTAGCAGAAACCCCTCCTTCACCCAGGGGACAGCAGAGCAGTGCCCTGGCATAATTTGCCCCTGCTAAATGAGCCACCAACATCACTGGCCAAGAACGCTGTTAGGGCAAACACTGTGTCAACCAAGAAGCTGCAGGGCGGTTTCTGCTTCCTCCCCACTAATACTCTGGAGCTCCTGTAGTCTTATGGAGTGGAGCCTCTCCCTGGAGGAGTTGAAGAACAGCAGCAATCCTCTCTCAGTAACTTTTCCCACCCAACTGCACAATCTCCCAGGCAGAATTGCATTTTGCTAGACAACGTAGTCTTGCTTCTGAACGCTCGGATCCTATTTAACTACAAGAACGCTTCACAGTGCTGAAGCACAAGGACCTCACTCGTACGCCAGGATGAACAGCCAGGCGCAAGGAGATACAAAGACAAAAGGAGCTGCAAAGTTTCAAACACTTCTCACCTTGTTGGCTACATCCAGCGCATCGTAATCTGGAGCCAGTCGGACATAAGCCTTCTTCTCCCCATCAGGCCTAGAGAGGAACAGAAGGCATCAGTACAGAGGCACACCACTCCTCCCAT